TTTTCCTTTACCTCCATCTCCTTCGATCCAAATATCAAGAAAAAGCTTCTTTAAGTTATTCTCTTTGTGATTATTATTTTACCTCTTCTTTTAACCAAAATCAATCCCTTCGTGCTTGCCTTCCATCAGTCCTGATAATGCAATACCCACAACCCACTGAAAATGAAAATTGGTACTCCTGCAGCTCCTAAGCCGGCTACACCAATCACCTGTGATCAATCCACTCCACCTCCTTCCTCCTTTCTGTCTCTTATTGAAGCTCTCTCCTCCTGCCTCCACCTCCTTCACACCCATTGCCTCCATGTTTACCTCCAGTGGCACAAAATGTTTCATTCCTCATGCATTTTCTCTCTCTTTCTTAATTATGGTGTGTAATATTAACTCATTCTCTCTTTGAACGTTTACTCTACTCCTCCCCTCTCTAGTTCAATTTAGAAGACTCTGGCAAGGTGACGAGGTCTACCATTTACAGTTTTAGGAGGTTATTTTTTGTACATTTTTGTGTCTTTACGTTTTCTTAAGAATCGGGAAAGTAGAACCAACTGGGAACCGAAAGGGAAGACTAATTATTTGTTGCGTGATGTCGAGGGATGTTGTATGAAAAGAATGCACATGATTTTTTCCTTTTGAAAATAGGCAATAGAGACTGCACATGAATTGATTCAACATTCAAAATTTCTTATGCCTTGACTGGTAATTAAGTAGGTTTTTAGTTTTGATATTAAACAGTACCTTACTGTCCTTACAGAGTTTTCCCATGGAGATACATCTGAGGCAGACTAGTAGGAAATTGCCGTTGAGAATGGGATCCAACCCCATGTCATTTCGTACCTGTTAAATCTTGTGCCTCAAAACAATTCAGTCAGTCCCCTCAACATTTTGTAATTTTTCACACCGTCTTGGAATCGTGCAACTAGGGAAGATATCTTCCAAAAGCATAGGGGCCCATGCTGCCTGAATGACGTTAATCGCGTATCCACAGTAAAAGGCATATACAAATTTTGTTATTATGTCTGCAGTCTCCTTATATTCAGCTATTTTGGTGACCAAGTAAACATCAGAGAAGATGAGATAGAGTTACTTTTAACACGGATCTTGTGACAAAATCTTGCATTAACTAACTTACATCGTTTGGTAACATATTGGAATTCAGACATACACTGATGATATGCCTGCATTGCAGAAACTAAATAATGTTCAACAATATAAATCTCTGCCAAATTAA